CTCCTCTCTCTCTCTCTCTCTCTTCCGTTCCTCTCTCACCCCCTGCCCCCTTTTCTCGCTCAATTGCCGACATTCAAGGGAGAATTTTCGATTCTCGCTTAAATGGTAATTTCATCCGGTCTCGTAGTTGCGCGTAGTCGGGAGAGGCTAGATCGTTTGAGAGAAGCGGAGGGAACCCTTTGTTCAATCGTTTCCTTTGTTCGACTCGGGGGGAGGGGGAGGGGGGAGGGTATCGATTAGCATGAGGGGTGAATTTCGCCTTCATCCCCCCCGGATTCCCGTCGAGGGGATTTAAAACACTTAATTGCAGGGAAAAATGCTTGGGATAATTCGTCTCGTTTTTTTCCCCGCCCACGTGGCTGGGCATCTCGGAGTTTCGTTTCGGAAGAAGAATCGAAGGAATTTCGATTCGTAGTAATCGACGATTAAACTCACTTCCCTCCTCGGCTCGATTCGAATTTCCGCCAATTTCGGAACTCCCCCCTCCCCCGAACGATCCTCCCTTGGCCCGCAATCTAGAAAAATGTTAAATTAAACGGCGTGCCCGTGTATCATTCGATTAATTATGAAGAAGGTCCGAGTAATTGCTTCCTCGAGCAACGCGAATTTGGCGGGAGGGGGAGAAGAAGCCGAGCAATTACTGGTGAATTATGTCGGTGCGGTATGTTCCCCGCCACGGAACGCGCTTCCATTTCTATTCTTTCCTTTCTTTTTCTTTTTTTTTTTTTAACCGTTCTCACTCCCCTTACTTTCATTTTTTTCCCCTCCCCCCTCCATTCTCGCGCGATCGAAAATTAAATCGAACCACATTTCTCGAAATCGACGAGATTCACTCCCGATCTCGGGGATCGGTCACTTTTTTCCTCTTTTCTTCTTTTTCCTCTCCTCCCCCCCCCCCTGCTCATCCTGCGATTAGGTCGGGAAAAAAATCGACGACCCAGTTTTTTCGTGGCGTAAAGACGACGGGATGAGGAGGAGGAGGAGGCGGGGAGAACGCGCGTCCGGAAATTATGAAATCGTCGAAACGGTGTAATTCTCGGCGAAGACGACGGTTATGACGGAAATAGATAGCTCTACCCTACTTTCTTCCTTCCTCGTCTCCGGCTCTCCCTCGCTTTGTCTCTCGCTCCCTCGTGAAGGGAGAGGACATCCCCCAACGCTCGCACAATTTTCGATTCCGAGAGTTTGCCTCGGAAATCTATCGCTCCATCCGGAAGCGGACCCGTCCACCAACCTGGAGACACGAAACGAAGTTATCCCCGAGTTGCCTGAATCTAAATAGAGGGCGATTCGCTCGATTTCCGCGCGAGGCGGATGATTAAGCGTCGCAAACTCCGCTCCGCCTCAACCTCTTGTTTTTAACGTCGATATTTAATATCGACAGGAGAAAGTGGAAAGAAACGAAAGAATAGTTGCGAGCGATAAAACTCGCGCGAAAAGACTATATAAAAAAATACAAACGCGTCGAATGATTTACTACAAAAAACTTACTTGTCGAGCACGCCTCCTCCCAACTTGATAAAAGCCAGTTGGCGCGCAGTTTCAAATTCGATTTTCACGAAACGGAAGTTTCGAGGGAAGGGAATTCTTTTCACAATTTTAACTCGATTCCACTGGCCAGCGATTACTCCCTCCTTACCACCAAGAATTACATCCGTGTTATTGAAATCTCGAATCGAAAGAATAAACCAATCTCCAAGAGGTTTAGTCTACGCGAGGTAGTGGCACGAATCGACCGATTCGGTTATAAATTACCGGCGAACGAGATCGGTCGAATTTCCTCCTCCTCCTCCTCCTCCTCCTCCTCCTCCTGGTTCGTGTGTTATTACCGTCAGATTGCCAGGGGGCTGATCGATTTTCGAAGGGTTTTGTTCACGGGAATCGACGCGAAAATACAAAATATTTTCCTTCTTCTTCCCCCGAAACGAATCGTCGCCGAGAAAAGAAACGATTTTATTTCGTCGCGATAACACGGCCAATTGCGCTGCATTGGAAATGATCCACGACGATTATCCCTCCAAGAGATAAATTCTCTCTTCTCTCCAGACGCGCTTTCCGATCTCTCTAAATTTCTGAATCGAATTTGTCGAATTTTCCGCTCGACGATTTGCAGAGGACGACAACGCCATGGTGCAGGGGATGGTGACCGAGGACGGCCTGTTCGACGGCACGGTGGTGACCGGATTCGAGGAGTACTACATCGAGCCGACCAACAGATACCTGGCCGGGGAGGACACGTCTCCGCAGTATCACAGCATCGCCTACAGAGCCTCGGACGTGTTAACGCCACGTAGATCGTTGCCTTGCGCCAGTCATCGATTGCGTCAACACTCGCCTTCTCACCATTCCATGGAAATGTGAGTGAATCCTCTGCAATAATAAACGATCGATCCTCGTCCAATTGATTTCCAAGCAACCTTCGCTTGAATCATCTCGGACGATCCTCGATAAATGCGAATAGATGAGAAAAGAAGAAAATAATAATATTCGTTGGAAAGATGGAAACGGATAGGTGAATGAATCACGGGCGTATTTCCCCGTAGGCTGATTTCTCGTCGTAGACTCGTTGGCTCGTTAATGTTAACGGGATAACCGCCTCTAAAACGGGCCGGGCCTGAAAATCGCGTTACGTTAACCGAGGATGAAAATGGATCTAACGAGAGAGAGGCGTATCCTCGAAACGTCTGGCGCCGTCTGAGGTTTATCAACTCGGAACACCGGGGAAGGCTGCACCTTCCCCCGTGCTAATTTCGTTACCTCTCCGACGCATTATTCGTAGGCACAAGTTCATCAAGCGTCGCATATGTATATATATATATATATATAACGTAACGAGCTTTAAACCGCGCCTCTTCAAACACTTCTCCCCTTCCCCGCAAAACGAATCCTCCTCTTAGAGCAGCAATTAGAGCATCGGTGTCTGGTCGATTCGCGCCAGATATCGTTCCTTTCATTTTTTCATTATTTATATTTTCTCTCCCTCTCTCCCCCTTTTTTCTGTTTCGCAGGGAAAAGCACGGGAACGAGTCTGTACGATCGTTGTACGAGCCTCTGCTCGGCGAGACGCGGGCGCTCTACTACTCGAAGGAAAACGAAGGGGCGCGGATTTTAACCTCGGAGATAAGGGATAAGAGCGCGCCACGCGTGGAAACGTGAGTGTCCGGAAATAATCGTTACGTTTCGTTCTCTGATTTGGAAATCAATTTAACCCTTTTCGCTACTACTTACGAGCGGCTATAGTCGGTCTGCATGAGATGACGAGCTAATTGGAGTTATCTTTCGAAACGTAGCATCGATTTTTTTGTTTTTACCGTCAATTTCACATTTTTGCGCGGCGAAGTCGGGTTAATTGCGGTCGAAGGTCAATTTCTAAGAAAGAAATTCGAGTCCGTTGTTTTCTCAATGCAGAAGGACGGATGGGGATCGTATCGCGAGACACTTGCACAAACGCGCGACGGTGGACCCGAGGAAGACTACGTGCATGCTCTACCTGCAAGCGGATCACCAGTTTTTCGCGAGATACGGCACGGAGGAGGCTTGCATCGAAGTGATGACGAGGCACGTGCAGAGGGTCAACTCGATTTACAAACATACAGGCAAGTTGCGAACTTCTCCTTTTTTTTTTCCAAGGATTTCTCTTCGATCCCGGTTTGTTTCACGATAGACTTCAACCAGGACGGGAGGCCCGACAACATCAGCTTCATGATAAAACGTGTGAAAGTTCACAGCGAGGACGCATTGAGAGATCCCAATTATCGATTCCCGGGCAACTACGGCGTGGAAAAGTATCTGGAGCTGTTCTCTGGTAAATAAATCTTCCCCTACCTCTCCTCCACGTCGCATCGCGTAAGCGGCAGCCAATTGTTGCCCGCGGCAAAGAAACCGCCGATCTATCTTCCCGACCGTTGCAAATCCCACACACACACACACACACACGCGTACACTCGTTCTTCTCCCCTTGCAGAAGAGGATTACGACGCGTTCTGCCTGGCTTACATGTTCACGTATCGGGACTTCGAGATGGGCACGCTGGGCCTCGCTTGGACAGGCGACTTGAAAAACGCCGGCGGAGTTTGCGAGAAGAACGGGGTGAGTTTGAAACACGTCTCGAAACGAAGTGTCGATCTTAAATCGATCGAGATTCCATCGACTTTCCTTCTCCATTTAAAAGAAAAAAAAAACCCCCTCTCTCGAAAACCTGCGAAACGAACTCGTGGAAGTGTGACACACGTTTCAACTTTGCAGCACTATCGCGGCAGCATGAAGTCGCTGAACACCGGAATAGTGACTTTACTGAATTACGGGAAGCACGTACCGCCCGCCGTTTCTCACGTCACATTGGCGCACGAGATCGGCCATAACTTCGGTTCGCCGGTAGGTCGCTCTAATTTACGAGGTTTTCAGCCTCGTCCCGTTTTATTAAACAAATGATTTTTTTTTTATCGATGGTTAAGCATAAAGGCGGTTTTTCCACGACTGTCGATACGTAACACGAGGCGCCACTTTACTTTGTTTCAGCACGATCCGGAACAATGCACGCCGGGCGGAGAGGATGGAAACTTCATTATGTTCGCTCGTGCTACCAGCGGCGACAAGCGAAACAATAATCGTTTCAGCCCGTGCAGCTTGAGCGCCATAAACCCGGTTTTGAATAGCAAAGCTCGCTCTCCCAAGGGTTGCTTCACCGGTCAGTCTTTCACACTTTCGTACTTTTATCCCCTCTATCGAATATCCATCGTCCCCTGAATACTCGTCCCCGTTTCTTCGTTCGCCTTGCCTGTCGTTCATACCAGTTCGTCGAAGAACACCGTGGCTACGATATCCGAATAATAGCCGATCGAAACATTTGTACGCCGATGGAAAAGTGGAATTTACGTTGATCTCTGTCCAGAGCCGCAAGTGTCATTGTGCGGAAACGGTGTGATCGAGGAGGGCGAAGAATGTGACTGCGGATGGGAAGAAGATTGCAGGGACTCGTGCTGCTTTCCTCAACGCCGTTATCCACCGCCAGGTGAAACACCCTGCACGCTTACTCCAGGCTCCATTTGTAGCCCTAGTCAAGTACGTATATGTGTCACGTTCTTTTATTATTGTTATTATTTTTTTTTCCTTCTACTCGTTTCAAGAATGTATCGAATCCCCGTATGTCCAGGGCCCGTGTTGCACCGCCGAGTGCAATTTGAGATTCGGAGACAAATGCAGAGACGATAACGGATGCCGGGACGCGAGCTTCTGCGACGGCCGGTCAGCTTACTGCCCTCCCTCCATCAACAAGCCCAACAAGACGATCTGCAATCGCGAATTCGTCTGCTTTATGGGGGTGAGTATATGTCGAGGGGTATATGTCGAGACGTTTTTTCCTTTCGGTGCGTGTATCTTTCCTTTTGTTTCACAAGGAGTGCACAGGTAGTATATGCCTCGCATACGGATTGGAATCTTGCCAGTGCATCCCTGGCCCAAACGATCCCCCGACGAAGGCCTGCGAGCTCTGCTGTCGTCTTCCCGGAGAGAACCAACCCTGCCTGTACGTTATATAAACCGGTTTATGCATATATGTGTATATATATATATATATTTTTTTTTATCGCGATAAAAATAAATGTATCGATGATCGATGTTGCGCGTAGCTCGTCTTTCGATTGGAACTCTCCGCCCTACGATATACCCGACATGTTCTCGAAGCCAGGAACACCGTGCAACGATTACAATGGATATTGCGATGTCTTCCAAAAATGTCGAGAGGTATGAATCTTGTTGTTGTTTAAAAAATTTCATCGTCAAGGTGCGCGTTGTACCCTTTTCCAGGTCGATCCAAGCGGTCCTTTGGCAACACTGAGAAAACTTTTGTTATCCGACGAAAGTCTGGCCACTTTCCGCCGTTGGATAATCGACCATTGGTACGCAGCCGCTTTGATCATTCTCGCTGCGATATCCCTATTGGTAAGCGTTCGATTGTTTCCGTTCCTTTTATAAAATCAAAATGTTATCTCGCGTATTCGCAATTTTATACATACATAAAACAAAAGTTTCACGTTTAACGTTTTAAAAATCATTTTTCGATCGATTTTTCACGTTAGAGACCTTCGAGGAGGCGCGCGGATATAAAAAGTGTTAAGAGTAAGTCTAGGAAGAGATGAAAGTAGAGGCTGGTATCTGCAAACATTCGATTCTCTAGCTAGCTCACCTTGAACCGGTATTATTCATCGTATTCATTTATAAATTCCAGTATCCAGTATCTCTCCATCGAACACGATCGTATCTATAACTCTCATCAAGTATATCGTAGTCCGTCGAATAATTGCTAAATTAATTAAGCAGCTGTAGAAGTCGCGCAAATGTGTCGCGTCACCACGCGTGATATAATATTTTTAATTTTGGTTCCCCTCGATGCGCAGGTGGCGAGCATGAGGTTGCTGGGCAAACGGCCGGATCTGAAGCTCAAGTCGGTCACAATAATACACAGCTCGACGACGGAAACCGTGCGCCTCCCGCCGGAGGGAACGGAGGGCGTGACGGTGCATCCTCCGGCGGTGCGCGCCAAGCTTCCGCTCAGCAGAAAAGTGAGGGAGAAGAGGAGGCAGCATCGAAAGCATAAGGACAACGGCCACGCGGCGGACAAGTGTGGGAAGGACGCGTCGAAGAAGAAGAAGAAGCAACCGCAGGCGAAGAGGGTATCGGCGAGCGCGAGCGAGGACTCGGGTAGGAAGAGGTCGGGGGACGCGGCGATGATCCAGGAGAGCAAACGGAAGAAGACGTTGCGGGGAAACGAGAAGCAGAATGGCGGCAATTCGGAGAGCAACGAGAAGAGGAAGCGGAAGAAGCAACACAAGTCGAAAGAAGTGATCGACTATTCGGGCATCCAGGCCGAGAAGGAGAGCGAGCCGAACGCCGATCCTAAAAGTAAAGTTCGTTCCTGGTTGCTGGCCTCGTCCCAGTGCCGGCCCGAGACGGGGAGGGGGAGTGGCCTGCCAAAGAGCAAATCTACTCCCGTGGGTTTGACAGGCGGCGGGGCCAGGTTGCCCCCGGCGACCAGGCAACCGGCGTCGAGAAGGAATCCGATCGAATCGAAGGAGGCGAAGATAACGGGGAACTCGGTAGGAGGGGCGAGGAAGGAGAGGGCGAAGCTGCAGGTGGTGTACAAGCCGCCGTTCAAGTTCACCGTGAAGCTTCGAAAGTCGGACAAGGTGGCGCAGGTGAGCTCGGCGAACGCCAACGGCAGGCCCAAGCTTCCTAGGACCGGTGTTCTTCTGAGGACAGGGAAGAAGAAGGACAGAGTGAGAATCGGGAGGGCCAGGCAGATAGCCCCAACGGGGATCGGGAACAGCGCGGCTGACCTGCCTGAACCGGCCAATTCCGACCTCCATACCGTCCCCTCCGACCTCGAGGTGTTGCTGTCCGAGAGCGAGTTCCTCTTCTCGGATACTTGACCACGGTGAACGAGACGGGCGTGTTTTTAGAAAAATGTGCGTTTGGAAGCAGTGTGCGTTTCTAAAACGAAAATGTATCTCTGTATCGACGAGAGAGAGAGAGGGGGAAAAAGTCGATGCATCGAAGAATCCCGTCCGCCGAAGGATACACGTGAAAACGTTTTACATGCCATCCCACGGTTCAACCTCGGTTTCATCCACGGTGAATATATAAACTCCGTATCCGTTCGTATAGAAAATCAAAAAAAGAAGAAGAAGAAGAAGAAGAAAAGAAAGTATTTCATCGTCGATGAAATCCGAGGTCCGAGAATCACCCATCGTTTTATCGTATTAATCTAATGGCTGCTGGGCGTGTTTTCATAAACGTTTGACGCAACCGCCTCCCCCCAAATGAGCTTCTTCCGTTTCTACCGTGCTGGAATTTATTTTTTTATAAGTATATATAACGAGGAGCACGCATACACATTACGGCGTACGCTTTCGCTCTTTTTCACGTCTTCCTAGGAATAAAACGACTGCGTCGTGCGTTCGAAATAATTCACCCTGCGTGAATTATTCATTCGATTCGCGTTACGATTTATACACAATCGATCATTGAAAAAAAGATCCGTGTTCTATGGAAGTGCTAAGTTGAACGATCCAAGCCAAGTTTTTCTTCTTCCAAAGAAAAGGGGCCAAATTCAACTTAAAAAAAAAAAGAAAAAAAAAAGAAAAAAAAAGAAAAAAAAAGAAGAAAAAAAAGGTAAAAAAAGAAAAGAAAGAAAGAAAGAAAGAAAGAAAGAAAAGACTAATTACGCGTGCACTAAGACGCACGCGTAATGACGGCACAAGAGATAAAGTTGATAGACCTATTTTTCGCCTGTCGCAAATGCGCAGAAATTTTGTTCTTTCTCTGGGACACACGAGATTACGAGATCCGCTTGCAATCGCAGCTTTCATCACATCATCATTCAGGCAACAACGTTGTTCGATGTTGAAAAGCGATGTTCTAGCGTAATGCGTCGAAGACGTCGAATAATAAGGGAGTGTAAGAGAGAAAGAGGTTGAGAGCGAGAGAATGGGAGGGAGAGAGAGAGAGAGAGAGAGAGAGAGAGAGAGAGAGAGAGAGAGAGAGAGAGAGAGAGTA